GATCCGCCCACCAACAGGAACTCCGTCTTGTCTGGATTGAGCTTCAGTTTATTGGCCCTCATCCAGCCCATTACCTCGGCCAGGCACCGGTTCAGCACAGCCACTGCCTCACCTGGATTGGTGGAAAACGAGAGGTAGAGCTGGGTATCATCTGCATACTGATGGTTCCGCAGCCCACACCTCCTGATGACCTCTCCCAGTGGTTTCATGTATATGTTGAACAGCAAAGGGGACAAAATGGACCCCTGCGGTACTCCATGGCATAGCTGCCATGGTGCAGGGCCATAGTCCCCCAGCACCACCTTCTGGAATCGGCCATTGAGATAGGAGCGGAACCACTGCAAAGCAGTGCCTCCGACCCCCCATCCTGCAAGCCTATCCAGAAGGATACCATGGTCGATGGTATCGAAAGCCTCTGAGAGGTCCAGGAGAACCAACAGGGACGCACTCCCCCTGTCCTTCTCCCTGCACAGGTCATCGTACAGGGCGACCAAGGCAGATTCAGTACTGTACCCGGGTCTGAAGCCGGACTGCAATGGGTCCAGATAATCAGTTTCATCCAAGAGTGCTTGGAGTTGTCCCGCCACCACCCACTCTAACACCTTGCCCAGAAACGGGATGTTGGCCACTGGTCTATAATAAGTGGCCATCTCTGGATCCAGTGACACCTTCTTCAGGACCGGTCGGACTACTGCCTCCTTTAAAGGGGCAGGCACCCGACCCTCCCTCAGAGAAGCGTTAACCACTTCCAAGATCCAGGTTCCAATCCCGTGCTTGGAATCATTTATTAACCAAGACGGGCAAGGGTCCAAAAGGCAAGTGGTTGGACGTACTCGCCCAAGCACCTTGTCCACGTCATCGGGCCTCAGTAACTGAAATTCATCCAATAAATCTGGACCAGATGGCAGCGTTGGTGTCTCCTTTGAAACCTCTGAATCAATAGTGGTGTCCAGCTCGTGCCGAATCTGAGCGATTTTCTCCCTGAAATGCCTGGCAAAGTCGTCACAGCGGGCCTTTGAGGGTGGAATCAGGTCTTCCTTCGGACCTGGACAAACCAGGCCTTGCACCACTCGAAAGAGCTCTGCCGGACGGCATTGTGAGGAGGCAATGGAAGCGGAAAAGAATCTCTTTTTCGCCGCCCTCACCGCCACAACATAGGCCCGATAGTGGGCTCTTAAGTGTGTTCGGTCAGATTCATCTCGTGATTTCCTCCACCTACGCTCTAGTCGTCTCCCAACCTGCTTCATTGCCCTCAATTCAGGAGTATACCAAGGGGAAGAGCGGGCTCTGCCTGGTGGGAGAGGACGTTTAGGAGCGATCATGTCTACAGCCCTGGTCATCTCCCCATTCCACAGTTCGACCAGAGCCTCGACAGGAGCACCTGTCTTGTCAGCTGGAAACTCCCCCAGGGCCTTCAGGAATCCTTCCGGATCCATCCGGCTCCGGGGGCGGACCCACATAATTGGGTCCGCACCCTTCCAGAGGGAGAAGTCGCTCTCGAGCACAAACCTAACCAGGAAGTGATCTGACCATGACATGTGCCTTAAGAAGTTGCAGTCTATTCCTCCCTAATTCAGAATATTTGTTTGAGTAATTTGTGCTGTGAAAATATCCTGTCTGAATTACTGTGAGGTTTGACAATGGTCTGAAAACCATAGCTGTCCCAAAATAGGATGCAACACTGATGACTGGGATTAGCTAGGGCTTTTTCATCTGCAGTGGTTGCTGATGCATTACTGGGCCACAGTAATCTGTAAGGTAAGATTACAGTAAGGTAATCTTCAGAGACCCTTTCAGGGTTCTTCTGGAAAATGATTTTTGGTGGGGGCTGCCACAGAAATTACTTTTTAGTGATGGCTCATCAATTGTAAAATTGTCAGTTGTTCAGAGGTTTGCCTAATTAGTAATCCTTTCAGCAGCTAGTGAAAGTCTTTATTTCTCAGTTAAAGTACTAAATTCAAATTAAATGTTTTAAGACCCTTAAGATCACCTTTAAGTTCCCCTATTGATATTGCTTTGTTGTTGCTAGTTTAATTTATGTATGTATTTCTTTTGTACTAAGGTACATTTTTAATATACTTGGTGCTTAGGTTGTAGTGTTTTCACTGGAAAGGGAATTTGGAGCTCTGTAGGACAGTTTGGATTCCCAGCTCCCAGACCGGAAACGATGTTCTGCTTTGGACTCCTTCACATGCCCTCTCGCAGCTAGCACCAAAAGATCTACATCAACTGTACTGTTTGCTTAGGAAAAGAATTTTGGAGAGGGGTTAAGGGAGAGGGGTGTTTGGATAGGTGGGAGGAGACTAGAGTGGCCAGAATGCAAGGTATCCTGAAGTCCCTCCAGCCTCTTCCTCCTCCTGTTTGAAATGGCCATCTGGCAAAAATGCAATGGGAAGACTGGCGGAAAACAAATATTTCCTCCACTGTCCCTCCTATTGTGCATCGGATAACTATAAGGCTCTGAATTCAAGGGCTTACGAGTATTCTCCCCATGATGGTATACTAAAGCACTGGAGGACAATGTTGAGTGGGAGATATGTAAGCATTGAACTAAGGCAAAATATAAAACAAATAAGCCAATCAGCCAATTGGACAGATGTGCTATGTCTTGCAGAGAAGAGCTCTGCTCAGAAACACTCAAGGCTCTTATACAGTTTTTTGATTTAAACATCTAGCTTAGGTTGTGATTAACTAGAGATGGTAGATCTCTCCATTCATCTCCCCCATGACTTCACTAAACATCTGAGGGGGTAGAATCCCCATTTTTCATTAAAACACATGTGGAACAATAAAGTACTCTTGAGAGTGTGTTTTAATGTTTTAAAATAGAATAGGATTGCTAATACAGTCAGGTGTAGTTAACATATGAAATTTCTTCTCAGGCATTATAGTTAGGTTTTCACACCAAATCAGAAAATGTCCTATAGGAATCAGCCCTCTGAATGTTGAAATATTTTTTTTATAGTAGCACAGGAGGAAAATTCAAAATTTTATAAGCAAATGTGAAGACTATTTCCATGACATGTTGACAGACTTTGGGCTTTTTCACTTTGTAAACTCAAATCCAGATTCTTATATCCTTACATAACAATACATGCTTCCATTTAATTTGGGATTTCATACCAAAAAAATCTTCTCCCTGGCTATCTCCCTTACCCCATGTGCAAAGTGTTTTTTCTTCAAAATAAAAGTAGTTTAAGTACACTTGCAGTTTGGTCCTCCAACACATGCTTTTTTGCTGCATTCTCTTGTTTTCTGGGTCTAAGGATCCAGCTGGCCATCATAGGAAATCATTTCTCAGATAAGAGTGTATAGTAGATCCTAAAGGAAAAAAATGCATATTAATACTTTCATGTGTATGTGTTTTCTCTCCTCCAATCAATGTAGTGGTTAGAAAATTCAAGCCTGATAGTATTTCACCAAGTCAAAGAACAGAAATAGAATTATATACTTCAGCCAAGGAGAAGCAGGAAAAAAACTTTAGTAAGCCTGTATTCGTATACGTATTTTTATTTGAGCCGGATTAAATTTGTGAGTTATATGCCTTTATAAAGATATGTAGGATTAAGATGCAAAGCATAAATTATCACATTGTTTGGTAAATTTCTTTTGTTACATTGCAGAATTAACATTTTTCTTCATGGTCTCTGTGCATCATGCATACGGGCCTTGTAGCTGCTCAAAATCTTGTTCGAGAAATTTCTGTAGCTGAGGACATTTTGGTGGGAACCTTCTTTCACTGTGCATGCCACAGGCAGAGTCTCACCTATTCCCTCAGCTTTCTTTCACCATTCTGGGAACTTTCTCTATTGTTTCATTTTCTTGGATGAAAAGGATTTTCCTACACTTTCTTTAGTCTGTCTGTGTGTCTGATCTTTTTTCTATCTTCTTGTTCTCTTGTCTCTGTAATTTTTTTTTATTTCTTTTCTTCCCTAATGGCTTATGGCCTTTCAGTGCCCCTTGTGAAGGTATGCTCATTGTGATTTCCATATACCCTGCCCTACAACAGCCTCTCCACTGCCAGAGTATGAGCCATCATTGCTGCTAAATTACTTCTCAGAAGAGGCTCAGAGAACTATCAGTATGGTAGCCAAATCGTCTTCTAGCAGATATTGTTACACCATCCCTCAGTGTGGAAGCTAGTGGGTCTGGCAACACACTCTGGCATCTAGTCTCCAAGGGTTCTTAGAGTACTACCTTCTCAGTACTCTAAGTGCTGTTCCTAGTGTGTGTGTGCTCACACGCACGCACCCCAGCATCACCCTGGCAGCTGAGCATCGGATAACAGCACACAATGGGGGCCATGTGCATGCTTGGAAAGGAGTAGCGATGCCAGGCGATGACATCACGCGCTATGACTCATTAGCCGTGACTTGTCTGAGCTTTTGCATGGCTGGTCAGTGCACTGCCAAGGATATATATATATATATTTGCTTGGACTGGCTGTGAGTTGTTTTTTCTAAACTAAAACCTCAGTTCTCAGGTTTTATTGCAGTGTTGACACTTTACGAAATATAAGTGGTGTTGGGTTGCAGTTTGGGCACTCGATCTCTAAAAGGTTCACTACCACTGTCCTAGAGCCTGAAAAGCTTGTGCACTTCTGCTCTAAATATGTATAATAAAGCAACATGATAGCCTTCCATTACAAACAAGCTTAGAACCATGGAATTAGCCCATGGGAAATGGAGTTCCCTGGACCTCCAGCCCCCTGAAAATGTCATAAGGGCTTGGGGGACCCTGGTGAATGGCATTACCTGTCATAAGGGAGGGCAAGGGAACCTCCAAATTCAGACAGTGGAATCTTCTGTGTGTAAAACATTTCTTTCAGTGGAAGGAAGGTCCTGGAGCCAACACATTGAGTCCATTATTGTTCAGCCTTTTTTTCCTATAGTAAGACTAGATTACTTGGCATCATGATGGCTTTATTGGTTGTAACCTGCCAGTTGCTAGGATTTATGTGTAATTAGCTGTTTGCTGTGTCTCAAACTTGATCCTTGCAGAAAAGGAAATAGAGCTAGCACTTAAAAGGCAATTTATGCAACCATTACCAGGAAATTACTACCAGCAATCAACAGTGAACCAACCATCTTTTCCACTGTTGGTTAGTCCTATACAACGTGAAGTAAATGCAAACAAACTTCCTAGTAAGTAAAAATTACTGTCCTGGGGAAAGTTGAAGATGGTTTGAGGTGTGAATGAAAGATGGAGTTCCTGATTTAGGCCATGAATAAGGGAGTAGTTACAATGTTTGTCAAAAAGATAGTAGAGTTCGGAAGGAAAAAGTAATATTATACTAAGCATAGTCTCATGCAGCAATATATTTTGAAGTTAAATGGTCGCATTCAGAAATCTCAGGGACAAATGGATACCAGAGATATATTATTATTTTATTTTATTTATTAGGATATTTTTATCTCATCCATTATGGTTCATCTCTGCACAGCTTACAATATAAAATTATTATTATATTTAGAAGAATATTATACTTCCAGAGAAAGACTCCTCCAAAGTAGATTTTGAATGTTCTAGTCAGAATAGCTGAAATTTTGATTCTATGTATAAAATGTTAAAATGCATAGAGAGGTTCTAATTACAAGATTCCTTCTGTTCAGCACCAACCTGTGTGTTTGTACTTTTCAACATATGAGGCTGGATCTAGAGTTAAGCTGGATAAGCTATTGCTAGCAGATAATCTGTGTAATATTCCTGAAAATATTACACAGATTATCAGCAGACCCTGCTGGATGGCATGAGCTTTGGGGGAAGGAAATCCTTCAAACTGTGCAGAATTTAACCTCCCATGAGATAAACAATCAACACTGTCCAATCTGACAATACAAAATGCATGTAACGACCCGCATACCTAACTGATTCAGGGTGGCCAATTATTGCCAGAACTGTAGATATGCACTGCCAAGAAAGGAGGGTGGGGACACAGGATACAGGGTGATATAAAACTTGAATATGCTAATTTATATGTTTAGCTATGAACTGAGAAATAACCCCTATACTTCAATTACAAATAGAAGTGCATCTTATTATAATAGGGAAGACTGTGTGCCTGCTGACTTTGCTGATGAGGGGCTAACTATTGAGGAAACTTTAAAACTTCTGCTCTCCCTTCTTATGGTTTCTTGTGGGTTTAAAACCATTTTTTAAATCTTTGAACTGAGCATTCCTTCAGTAAAGGGCATTGTCAAATAAAGAACTGTCCTCTGTTAAGTAGGTCACCTGGCCACCCTAGAGCCAATGCAACACCAATTATCTATATGCAACTTTGGATGTACAGGGTATTTTAATAGTTTAATAATATATTATTTTTTTAATCGAGCCATTCTTTGTTTCAGTTGAGTATTCAATGCAAAACATACTAGACTATAACAAGAATCTACTTCCAGCCCATAGAGCAAATCTACAGCAAGCACTACAACTTGCACAGCATCAATTACTACAGCAACAAACTAACAGTCTTTGTAAGTAATGAGTTAATTGTGTATACAAAGATAGACTTCAGATTTATTTAACTTTTCCAGGAACCCAGCGGATAATTTGATGCTGCTATGAATAAAATTAAAAACAAACAAATCAGAGTTTGTAGAACATTTTAATAGTTAAATATTTATGATAATTAGTTGTTTCTATTGTTCTGTGAGTACATTTTCATATACTGGCAACTGACAAAAACAAATTGTCAATAACCTTTTTTTCAGAAGTTGTTAAGAAGCCTGATTCTAACACTTGTCCTTATGTTCCACAAAAGTTACTGTACACATTTTTTAATATTCCAGTTTTCAACTTATAATATTCTAGAAAAATTTCTGTGTAAACTTCTTTACTTGTCCTTGAAATGTTTTTGCGTGTATTCTTTTAAGAGTCTAAATTCCTCTGATGGTTTCAATCTTCCTTAACCCACCCCTGTATCTTCTTACATTATGACATGTATGCTTCACTAGTTTCTCTTTAAAAACTCTGTATTTTGAATTTCTCTCTCTATTTTCATCTATTATCCAGTTCATCTTTATCTGGATGTTGAGAGCCAGTGTACTATAGTGGTTAGAGTGTTGGACCAGGACTCAGGAGATCCAGATTCTAGTCCCCACTCAGCCAGGAAACTCACTGGGTGAGTTTGTATCAGTCAGTGACTCTCTGCCCAACCTACATCACAGGGTTCTTCGTCATGGCCTCTGTGCATCACACATATGGGTGCTGCGCTTGTGCAGTGCCTTTGGCTGGAAGATTGCCAGCTAACGGTTTTTGGCAGAAAGCTCCGCTCCCCCTCCCCCCGTGGCCTATAAAGAGCGAAGCGTCCACCATTTTGTTCAGTCTTTGCAACCGCCGTTCACTGTGCCTCGTGCCACTTTCGACTTTCGCTCTGACTGTTACTTGTTAGCCTTTTCTTCTTGATTGTTCCAATTCTATAGTCCTGGTTTTTTCTCCTTATTCCTGTTAGTTAACTGTCTCTGCTTCGTATAGTTCCTGTAGTTTTTTCTCTATCATTCTACCTTCTTTTGATCTATCTAAAAAAAAAAAAAAACCAAAAATATATACTTACCCTCTGCACTATCTCTCTCTTTTTCCTTTTTCTGCGATGGCTCAGCGAGCTGCTTTCTGCAAATGCGCGGAGTGTGGGTCAGAAATGTCACCAACTGACCCGCATACCTATGCCTCCTTTGTTTGGGGAAGGGGCATAGGACCGATAAATGCGCTCACTGCCTGGCCTTCTCCAAGCAGGCCAGGAAGAATTGAGAAAACCACCTCCGGAAGCTCCTTTGGGATCGGGCTCTCATGCAGTCTGACCTGTTGCTTTCTGCTCCAAAGCCTGGCTCTGCTTCAGTAGCCCCACCTTCATGCCCTTCAGATGAAGGCGCGTCTGCTACGGTGGCTCCCTCTGCTTCCCCCAAAAAGAAGCATGAGAAGTGGAAGCATGCCGAACCCGAGAAGTCGGCAGGCCATAAGAAGGCCAGGAAGGAGAAAGTCTCCAAGCCTTCCAAGAAACCGAGGGACTCGGAGCGTCCTCGTCAGCGGGATTCGGATTCGACGGCGCTCTCGGTACTGGCAGCGCTCACAGTACTGACACCACCCGACCCAGTTCTTCAGGAGGCTATGCGGGTTACCCCTCAAGAGTCCCCGCGCCGTGTGGCCAACCTCCCATCTGCGCCCCTTCCAACTCTGCAAAGGGGCTCGATTTCTGATGGGGAAATTCAGGACTCTCCCCCTAGGGCTAGGTTGCCTACACCCATGCCCGCTGCCACTGTGGAAGTGGATGTAGGGATGTCCCTGTCTGGGAGTCGGAGGAGCCGCTCCGTGGAGCAACGTTCGGAGGGATGGTGTCGCCCCTACTATCATACCTGGGGTGATCCACTCTCCATAGGATATTACCCCGCTCCTAGGGGTCGGTCCTCTCCACCGTCTCGCGACTGACCACATCCCTCGGACCCGAGACGTGTATCTCCACAATCCCCTTGGGATGGAAGCAGCTGCTCCTTTTCTCCAGTGGAGTCTTTGTCATCGGCTCCACCATACTACGGTGCCGATTCTGACGATTCGGAGGTTGACTCAACCTCCCCAGACGTCGCCGTGACATCCCAGGGTCCTGTGTCACCGGACGAATCTCACGTGTCCTTTGTGGAGCTGATGTCCAGACTTGTCCAGTCCCTCGACATCGACGCCATCCAGCGTCCGGGACCGACAACAGACAAGTTCTACGACGTCGTCCGTGGGGAGCAGTCGACATCGATTGTCCTGCCGCTCATAACCACCCTTCGGCAAGCGATGACGCAGCCCTGGGACTTGCCCTCCCACCCTCAGCCTATGTCCAGGAGGTATGAATCTATGTACCGGGTTCAGGAGAAGGATAACCCCTTCCTCCTCTGCCACCCCAAGCCGAACTTGGTCATAGTGGAGTCCTCCCAGGGCAGAGAGGCAAGAGGGCACACGGCACCACAAGACAAGGAGGGCCAAAAGATCGACTCCCTGGCTAGGCAAGTCTACGCTGCTTCAGGCCTGGGGCTGCAGATCTCGAATTAAGAGGCGACGTTGGCAAAGTACCAGTACTTCATCATGTAGCGCCTCCACAATGTCGCCTCGACCCTCCCGGACCACCAGGGTGACCTGGCTAAGGTCCTTATCAAGGAGGCAATGCAGGTGGCTGTTCAGCAGTTGTCCACAGCCAGGCACCACGTGGACACAGACTCGAGGGCCTTGGTCGGTACAGTTTCACTCCGGAGACATGCCTGGCTTAGAAACTGCACCTTTCCAGAGGAAACCAAGCACCATATAGAGGAAATGCTCTTTGACGGGTCCGGGCTTTTCCATTCCCGCACCGACCACAAACTAAAAAACGGCACGCAAGATGGAGATCCAGATCCAGACTAGACTTAAGTGGTCATGGAATCGCCCATCTTACAGGCAGTCTTACCAGGCAAGACAACAGCCCCAGCACTGTCAGCAGCAACAACAGCAGCTCCGCCGTCCGCAGCCCCAACAACGCTACCAACAAGGCCACCGCCGTTTCGATGACAGGAGGCAGCGTTGATGGGACTGGTGAACCATCCCTCAAATTCCTTCTATAACCACCCCCCTCTCATCTGGGGATCGGCTCTGAAGCTGACTCCCCATTTGGGAGTCCATCACATCTGATCGGTGAGTATTGTCCATCATTCAGCACGGCTATCGGATAGAATTCAACATCGTTCCTCCATCAAGTCCGATCCAGTTTACATCATGTTCGCCGGTATTGCTCGACGAAATACATCAACTTCTTTGTAAAGGAGCGATTCGTCAAGTATTCCCATCTGACGGACTTCACGGATTCTATTCCAGATACTTTACGGTCCCGAAGCGGGATGGTGGTTTACGTCCAATTTTGGACTTGCGTAACCTGAATCGATTTATTGTACCGAAAAAGTTTCGGATGACCACCCTTCAAAATATCTTGCCGTTGCTAAGGAAAGAGGATTGGTTCACCTCACTGGACTTGAAGGACGCCTATTTCCACATTTCGATCCACCCGAGTTATAGGCGTTTCCTTTGTTTTGCTGTTGCACCCCATCTCTATGAGTTTACAGTTTTGCCTTTTGGACTGGCCACGGGTCCGAGGGTATTTACCAAATGTATGGCTCCTGTCTGTGCTTTCCTACACCTCCAAGGCAT